ACTCTCGGGAGTTTTCGATCAACGAACTACAACTATATTGCGGGAAAATACACTAGGTGTTCCGAAGAGGTGAAATATGATGAAAAGCGTGCCGACGACCGGGAAATATGAAGTTTTTCGGCCCGCTCACGTGATAATCTAGAACCAATCAGATAACGCGTTGTGTAAAATATTTATAATGAGGTATAATTATAAAAATTATGTATATTTGATTCATTCAATATTTTTTTAATTTAATAACTTACTCACATGGAATAGTTTAACGTTTAATTTTTTTTAATAATTTGAATTTTCTTTTAAGGAAATTCACATACATGTTACTGTAAACTCAGTTATTATAAGGAGTAGTTAATTAGCACGTACCACAAATTCACAGTTGGTGGCACCAACAATGCTGGCGAAATCTTCGTTTTCTGCGATCTCCGTTAAAATTAGTCCCTTTTCTGAGTCCACGTCAAACACACACTGAAGTATAAAGGATTATAATCAAACACACAACTTGAATGATGAAGATCTCTCACTTTTTACCACAGTAGCTACATTTACTGATTAAGATTGACTCCATCAGTGTTAGTCCTACCTTGTCAGTGATGATCATATCTACACAGTTTTTACCCGTCAGGGGCAGATCACAGCTATTGACTATCTTACTGTTTCCTTTCTGAAATATATAAACACTCATTAAACTTATACTGAACCATAAATCAACCTACAAACTTATTGATAAGGTTTTAAATGAGCAAACGTTAGTCAGAATATTATACAACCTTGTCCTAGTGTTCCATGGTAACAATAACCTTAGTTTTGTGACTGGACACCAGATCCATGGCTCCACCCATTCCCTTGACCAACCGACCCTGAAATAATTATGGAGCACAGATTGGTAAAACAAGAAATCTGTTCATTAAATAAGTAAGAAACACACAAATTACCCATCAGAATTGAAACATGAAACCAAAAAATTTTCTTTACACAGAGTACCTTAAGTTTTTCTTTATAAATTATGATCAAAGTTAAACTTAATTTCCTGATATACACCCTTTACCTTTCCGGAATCATCCAATTGGCCAGTTCTCCATAACGAGAAACTTGCAATGCCCCTAGTATGGTCAAGTTTATGTGTCCTCTGTAAAAACAAGTCATACAATTAAATTGCAATGTGTAACGCCCCTTGTACGGTCTATTATTAAATATGTATTCTGTAAAAATGGATTATATTTCATATCCATGCCCTGAAAACTTTTCTTCTAATTAAAAAGTTTGGAAGCAATAGTTGATGTATTTTAGTAGGAATTACAATGTCTAGTCTTGAACTTTAAATATGATGAAGTATTTAAAATAAGACTGGACCCTTTTGTGGTTAAAAATATTATTTATATTCACTGCGTCAATTCCTTTGGTAGCATACTAAAATTAAGGAAAAAATGGATTGTTTTAGCTGCATTTAATGTGGGGGTTTAAGAAGTTTACGATTTGTTATTGCAGCCCGGAGGACCGGGCTGCTCTGTACATATAAGTTTAATTGTTGGTATATGGGGATTGGGGTGGGAGTAGTTATGTAGAATTAAAGGTCTTCTAAAACATTGAAAACATTGTTAATCAGAATGTTCTTTCCGTTTTTAAATTACGAGATACATAATATATTTACTTCCATAAAGTGAATCTGTAAAAATATATATGTTTTTCATATCTAAAATATAAAGTTCCTTATCATTTACTATACATAACGACAGGTCCCTTTTTTTTAGAACATCGAATTTTACTTCTCGGATAAAAACGTGATCTGCACAGTTCGTGATTTATATTCTAAAATTGAAAATTAATACATTTTTAAATATAAATGATTCGTGTGTCTAACTTCAATTTATATTTTATGCAGTCAACATTTACTTGAGGAATAGTTTGATCAAGTTTAAATGGTATCGTTTTTGATTGATTTTTATCCGACTACAAGTTTTTAAAAATATTTTCGACTATCGTCTACATCAATTAGACGCATGCCTTTTTACACATATCGAAGTGGTTTGTTGACCAAGACTCATTTTCATTGTTTACTTCATATATTTCCCGTGCGACAATTGATGGTTACATCAATGTTTTCTTGTATCAATTTGATTTGAGTAATAAACAAACCCTCGAATCATAGCGAAGGAATCGTCACTGGAGAAGAAAGAGCTCCCGGAGATGTTAGTGACGGTCTGTTTGCCTGCGTTGATCATATCTGGGTCAACCTCATTGGGTAATGGGTATGGACCCTGTAATGTTATAACAAAAAGTTTTTTTTTCCTTCAGAAAAAATATTGTTATGGTAAGAGAAATGGGAAATAAAATGAATCTCAAATCACATTATCTCAGCCTGAATTATTACATATAAAGCTATTTATTCTTTCATAAAAAAGTTAATGAGGAAACGAACCAATTCCATGCTTCCATTTTCACTCTGTAGATGGACAGTCATTCCTGGCGGGATAAAATTGCTGGCCAACATTGGCATTCCAAAACCCAGATTGGCTGAAAATATTGACCAGAAATATAACCATGTAGATTGGCTGAAAAGTTTTGACTAGAAATAAGCAACATTCAGATTGGTTGAATTTATTTTACCAGGAATATCAATAACTTTCAGATTGATTGAAATTATTTGATTAGAAATATAAACAGCATTTACATTGGTTGAAAGTATTTGACAAGAAATAAAAATAACACTTGTCTACCATATATGCCATCATGGAATTCCAGAGCTGCCTGCTTTATGATTCTGTTTCTCATTTCCGCGGCCTTGTCATTTGTCTCTAGTTCCTCTTTACCTTCTGTCTGTGTCGTCAACCTCTGTAAGATATTTCAGGTAAAAGACAGAGAATTTCTACATTAAACTTTCCTATTTTATATATTTTGACCTCTGCCCACTTTTTACTGTTTACCTTTACCTCTATCCTCTTTTCGTAGCTGGGTCCTTTGATGACTCTCTGTACGTACACATGTGGAACGTGGACGTCCTCTGGTGGAATTTCTCCGACTTCCACGATCTCCTCTACTTCCGATATCGTGATCCGTCCAGCCTTACACATCGGGGGTTAAAGTTATAGCTGTCTTTCTACAAACAAAAATAGCTTACTTTACACAATGCTCTGTTTTACAAAACAAGAACCTTCACCAAAGGATCATTTATATCACACTACATGTATATACTTTCAAGTGTAATCTTTAAGTTGGAGTTAACTTTTGTGTATCTTGTCATACTGTCTAAGGTCTTGACTTGTATATTAAACATGTTTAAGATGCGTTTTCTTTGTATGAAGGATATGGAGATAACAAACAATGTTCAATATCAAAGTCCATAAAACAATACAAAATAAGTGCAGAGCAAACACGGACCCCCCAAACATCAGAGGTTGGATCAGGTGCCAAGGAGGAGTGAGCATCCCCTGCTGACTGGTCACACCCGCCGTGTGCTCCTTGTCATGATCAGGAAATAACGGAAAAAATCAATCGTCAATTCAGTGTATAAATAATGGACCAACAATTGGTATGAAAAACGTAAAAACATTTGACTTAATGATAAATTGTATTTGCTGACAAAGTCAATGTATCAACCATAGAACTTACGAAATGATGACTTTAAACGAGACTGCTAATATTCTTGTTTCATCTACTTGCTTGTCAATAATTTACCTCGTTTTAGAAATTGTTCGTACGAAGAGCATGCTCTTGCACATCGAATCAACTGATATATATATATATATATATATATATATATATATATATATATATATATATATATATATATATATATATATATATATATATATATATATATATATATATATATATATATATATATATATATATATATATATATATATATATATATATATATATATATATATATATATATATATATATATATATATATATATATATATATACTCCGTATGCAGGTGACAAAAGTATATTGATGCATAAATAAGGGAAGTTGACTATAGAAAAATTAAAGTCATCAGGTTTATCATATAGCTTGGCTGTTAGATTACCATTAGTGTCTTTTTCAAGTAAAATATCCAATTATGAAGCAGAAGTGTCGGACTGTATGATGTCATTTATCTCAAGCTCACCAGGATTTATCGTATCTCGTAGGAAAGGAAATTAAAATTATTAATTGACAATCTAAATGTTGAAGGCCACAGCAAGTGTTTTCTTCTTTTCATGCATAAGATTTTGCATAAATTCTGCTTCATATGAATATAAAAATAAGTCTGCTAATAACGGAACGTAATTTGTACCCATGGGAATTCCAATACATTGTTGGAATACATGGTCTCCAAAAACCACATAGATATTGTCAATCAGAACTCAAGCATCTTCTTGATGTCTACTTCAGAGTACATGTACTTATGTGTGCAATCAGAATCTGTTTTAACAAAATAATTTTACAAATGACCATTGACGAGGTAAGTAATTTTACGGGTTCCATTCTATTAGTATTTCTACTAACCTAAAGCTGAAGTTTCCTAATTTTTTGGCCTTGTGTGCCCTGATCTACTGACCTAAAGGTGAGGGTTCCCACTTTTTCTGTCTTGTGTGCCTTGATTTACTAACCAGAAGGTGAGGTTTCCTACTTTGACAGCCTTGTGTGCCTTGATTTACTAACCAGAAGGTGAGGTTTCCTACTTTGACAGCCTTGTGTACCTTGATCTACTGACCTAAAGTGAGGTTTCCTACTTTGTCAGCCTTATGTGCCTTGATCTACTGACCTCAGGTTTCCGACTTTTTCAGTCCTGTGTACCTTCATCTACTAACCTAAAGGTTTTCCACTTTGTAAGCCTTGTGTACCTTGATCTACTAACCTAAAGGGTGAGGTTTCTTACTTAATCTGCCTTGTGTGCCTTGAGCTACTGACCTAAAGGTGAGGTTTCCCACTTTGTCTGCCTTTTGTACCTTGATCTACTGACCTAAAGTGAGTTTTCCTACTTTGTTAGCCCTGTGTGCCTTGATCTACTAACCTGAAGGTGAGGTTTCCTACTTTGTCTGCCTTATGAGCCTTAATCAGGGCAAAGTCACCTACGATGGCTTCCTCCATGATGTACTTAAATCCATTGAATACCCTTACCTGAAATAAACAAATAAATTATTATAATCAAACCAACCTCAAGTATTCTTAAGTACGATGAGGAGGCATACATTGTTTTAATGATAATATCATTTGAGTTTTGTTGGTTGTATTTTCTTACCTTTTTTGATATTAAGCTTTTGGTTAGTATAATCATGTTTTATCTCATATATTGAAATAAACAATATATTTTATGACTAGAGAATCTTCTGGTAAATACGAAAGCACAAAAATTAACCATTTAAAACTTCTGGGTGAGGTTAATGTTTTCTAAGAGTTGGTCAAACTCCAAGGTCAAAGAGTTAATTAATGATATGCAATAGAAGAGCTTGTCATAAGAAATACGCATGCAAAATATAAAAGTCCTAGCACAAACTGTTCAAATGTTATAGCAAGGATTAAAGTTTTTTAAAAGTAAGTCAAACTCAAAAGTCAAGATCAATAGGTCAAAACTGTTGGTATCCCAAGAAAGGTCTTGTCACAAGAAATATACTTGTAAAATTTAAGAGTCCTAGTACTAACTGTTCATAAGTTATGGCTAAGGTTAAAGTTTTTAACAAGTGGGTAAAATTCTGAGGTAAAGGTAAAAAATATTTAGCCTAAATAATTTAGGTTTCACATGTGAAATATGAAAATCCATCATTGAATAAATTCCATTACCAAATAAACAGTCTAAAACTACGACCATAAACCTTGGATACTTCACTCACTGGGTAAACATTTCTTTCTTTTTCAATTCATAAATTTGTTAGCCAATTATGCCTTATTCAAAGCTTCAGAGTTTAAGTAAGAAAATGTTGACTGTTTGTTCAAGACCACAAGCAAAATATTACATGCATTTCATACTTTCTTTTATCAGTTGAATTTTTTTTGTCTTAAAACTTGGCACTCATGAACGCAATGGTATAATTTATATCTTGAATAACCAAAAAAGGTCATATATATCAAAATGAAAGTAAGTGGATTTTTCTTTACTAAATATAGCAGCTGAAACTTTTCATTTCTTACCTTTCAACATGGACACCAGTAGAAGTTCGCAAATGTAAGTTTTCATGAAGAAATATAATTATGTATTAAAATGCCTACATTATCTTATTTAATCAAAATTTAAGTTTTTGAAAAATTAATGAAAACCTCTGAACGATTGATACCTGTGAAGCAATTTTTAAAACTAAATAAAGGTTACGGGCCACAAGTTGACAACAGTCTTCCTAGCAAATTGAGACCTCCTATTGTGACATTTTTCCCTGGAAAATTAAGTTTGATTCCACATTAATCCAATCGTAGATCTAGGCATTGTGATTTAACAAATTAAAATTGACAATGAAGATATATTTCAATATCAAATGGCTATGTTATATTATTCTGGAGATAAGAATTTTTGGTGTAATACAGGGATAAAATATAACATATTATGAATTTACTTTAATGTTAACACATTTAATTTTGTCCTTGAGTTTATTAAACATACGTCACAAAGCATTTTGTTTTGTGTCATCATATTACGACATCATAAAAAGATTTCATTCTCGTTATAAACTGCCTTAAACATCAAATTAAATATATTATCTGGTAAAATTGTATTTTACAAAATACTTGCATAAGAAAACATTATTCCATTAATTACTAGTATCAAAATGTAAGTAAACAACAGTGATTTTTTTTATTCATTTCATTGTCTGTGAACATTTTTCCTGGAGAATGATTAGGCAGTTACCCTATAGCTATTTTGAAAATGATCTAGATATGCTTAATATGTGCATTGATCTTTAATGAAATATTTTTACAATGTCAAAAGGGAATGTTTCATAAGTGTTTAAAGCTCTCTTAATAAAGAATAAATATTAAAACAGCAACAAATGTAAACAAACCATATATTTAAAATTTGTATGAAATGTTGTGTTATCTGATGATACATGTGCTTTTCAAATGCATGTTTAAGCTTATAAATATTTCCAGAATAATAATAGTGTGTTTCTGATGATGACATTGTATATTGATTTACAAAAGTGACATATATTCTAGATATATAAATTATCCTTTAATTTTTACCAGTAAGATAGCCATAGAACGTATATCAGAGTCAGTGTTTTGGGGACTGTGTTGTAAAGTGGGGACCTCAAAACTGGTGGTCATGAGGAGAGATGTGATGGACATCGGGGATATTGTGGGAAATCAAGTGATAGGTAAAGAGTCCAGTGTGATGGTGAGTGGAAGTCAGAGAGAAGGATTCAGACTGAAAGGATCAGATGTAGACTATATGAGCTGGCCAAATAATCACCGTGTCATCTGGGAATTATCTCAGTCTCAGTATTACAACACACACAGACAAACACTGATCCTCTGTGACTGTTCTGAGAGTCCACTAGGATTCACTTTGTTATGTTTACTGTCACCAAGCATGTACATAGCCATCGAGAGAGCTTGTGTTAGAATGTATAATAGAGATTATATATCTAGTTTTAAATTAAGACAGCTCATTTGTTCTGTATCAATAAGGACATCAACTGAACATGGACCCTGTGCCAATAGAACAATTGGCAAAACAGAAATTGATAATGCCCTCTGTTTTGTTAGTGACTTTTGGCCTCCATATGCCTTCTCATGGATAAACAGATGTCACTCATGGCCCCAACCTCATGTTGTTGATGATATAGTAAAACATAGGTAATCAGAGATTACAGAGCTCACCTCAACGTGTGTTGTCTTTAAGTAAGGCAAATTAAGTCACACAATTAACCAACAAAAAGTGTACATCCAAAAATGCAAAATTTATGCAATTTTGATACTTTGGAATAGACCTATATAAAAACTTAAAACTAGTTCTTCATCATGAAAATGTAATTAAAATCCAGCATCTGAAGCAAGATTGAGAGTTTTCATCCCTTGATGCATCATTTGTGCAACTAGTTTATATAAGCCTTATAGTTTCTTTGTGATAGATTTCCACCCATAACTTTTACAAGCTCTATTATCTGGAAAATGTATGTCAAATTCAGCATCTGAAGCAAGTCCATTAGTGTGCATCCTAAGATGTATCATCCATGCAAGTTTGGTCAACATAGGGCTTAAAGTTACTTGCAAATGAAACCTGTATAAAAAAATTAACCTTTCTACTAATCCAGAAAATGTAGGTCAGATTCAGCATCCGAAGCCAGCCTAGTAGAATGCACCCTTAGATGTACCATCCATGCAAGTTTGGTCATTATAGGGCTCAAAGTTACTTGGAAATGAATCCTGCACCATAAACTTTAACATGTTTACTCGTCCAGAAAATGTAGGTCAGATTCAGCATCCGAAGCAAGTCTAGTAGAATACATCCTAAGATGTACCATCCATGCAAGTTTGGTCATTATAGGGCTCAAAGTATCTTTGATATGAAACCTTCACCAAAAACTTTAACCTGTTCACTCAACCGGAAAATGTAGGTCAGATTCAGCATCTGAAGCAAGGCTGGTAGTATGCATCCTAAGATGTATCATCAATGTAAGTTTGGTCAACATAGGGCTTATAGTTACTCGGAAATGAAACCTGCACCAAAAACTTTAACCTGTTCACTCAACCGGAAAATGTAGGTCAGATTCAGCATCCGAAGCAAGTCTAGTAGAATACATCCTAAGATGTATCATCCATGCAAGTTTGGTCAACATAGGGCTTAAAGTTACTTGCAAATGAAACCTGTATAAAAAAATTAACCTTTCTACTAATCCAGAAAATGTAGGTTAGATTCAGCATCCGAAGCCAGCCTAGTAGAATGCACCCTTAGATGTACCATCCATGCAAGTTTGGTCATTATAGGGCTCAAAGTTACTTGGAAATGAATCCTGCACCATAAACTTTAACATGTTTACTCGTCCAGAAAATGTAGGTCAGATTCAGCATCCGAAGCAAGTCTAGTAGAATACATCCTAAGATGTACCATCCATGCAAGTTTGGTCATTATAGGGCTCAAAGTATCTTCGATATGAAACCTTCACCAAAAACTTTAACCTGTTCACTCAACCGGAAAATGTAGGTCAGATTCAGCATCTGAAGCAAGGCTGGTAGTATGCATCCTAAGATGTATCATCAATGTAAGTTTGGTCATTATATGTCTCTTAGTAACTTGGAAATGAAACCTGCATCAAAAACTTTAACCTGTTCACTCAACCGGAAAATGTAGGTCAGATTCAGCATCCGAAGCAAGTCTAGTAGAATACATCCTAAGATGTACCATCCATGCAAGTTTGGTCATTATAGGGCTCAAAGTTACTTGGAAATGAATCCTGCACCATAAACTTTAACATGTTTACTCGTCCAGAAAATGTAGGTCAGATTCAGCATCCGAAGCAAGTCTAGTAGAATACATCCTAAGATGTACCATCCATGCAAGTTTGGTCATTATAGGGCTCAAAGTATCTTCGATATGAAACCTTCACCAAAAACTTTAACCTGTTCACTCAACGGGAAAATGTAGGTCAGATTCAGCATCCGAAGCAAGTCTAGTAGAATACATCCTAAGATGTACCATCCATGCAAGTTTGGTCATTATAGGGCTCAAAGTATCTTCGATATGAAACCTTCACCAAAAACTTTAACCTGTTCACTCAACCAGAAAATGTAGGTCAGATTCAGCATCCGAAGCAAGGCTGGTAGTATGCATCCTAAGATGTATCATCAATGTAAGTTTGGTCAACATAGGGCTTATAGTTACTCGGAAATGAAACCTGCACCAAAAACTTTAACCTGTTCACTCAACCGGAAAATGTAGGTCAGATTCAGCATCCGAAGCAAGTCTAGTAGAATACATCCTAAGATGTACCATCCATGCAAGTTTGGTCATTATAGGGCTCAAAGTATCTTCGATATGAAACCTTCACCAAAAACTTTAACCTGTTCACTCAACCGGAAAATGTAGGTCAGATTCAGCATCCGAAGCAAGGCTGGTAGTATGCATCCGAAGACGTATCATCCATGTAAGTTTGGTCAACATAGGGCTTATAGTTACTCGGAAATGAGACCTACACCAAAAACTGCACCAAAAATGTTAACCTGGACCAAAAACATTAACCTGGTCATTCCTTTGCTGAAATTGCAGCATCTGAAACTTTGACTGGTACAATGAAACACACTAGCAACATCTTCCATGCATGTCTTATCAATATAGGACATAGATGTACTTAAAAAGAAAACTGCTCCAAAAAACTTAACCTTAACCCGGGACGCCGACGCCGACGCCGACACCGACACCGACGCCGACGCCGACGCCGAGGGTATCACATAAGCTCCCCCCAACTTCGTTGAGGTGAGCTAAAAATGGATGTCACTTTGTAGCCATCGGACATAAACTAGGAAGACATGAAGACCATGAATGGAGAATTTCTTTTTCTCTGGCTGAACAAAAACTAGTGAATTCAATGAACCACTGTCAATTTTTAACTTATGGCTTGCTGAAATTGTTCTTAACAGAAATAATTAACAAAGGACTAGGTGAAGATGGTATATTACTGTGTTCCTATCACATGAAGACAGCCGTCTTCTGGGTGATTCAACAAAATACAATACCTCACTGGTGTCCACAAACTCTCCTGGCGGGTTTCTGGGTCTGTTTTAAACTCATTCTTAAATGGGTGTATGAGGGGGTCTGT